CATCCCACTAACAAATGTGGTTTTGTTATTCCAAATTTAACCATGATTTTTTTTGTTAAAAGACCATGTAAATCTATCAAACTATAAAAACTCTCATTTATCAATAAAATATTTTATTATTTTCATAATTTCCTTGAAATGAGCCTTTTATACAAAACTAGAAGTAAATTTCACAACAAAGTATCACATACACTTGGAAGTCATAAATTTTGTATAAAATATTATACTATTTTGAATAAATTGTTTTAATGAGCATAATTTTAAAATATCAAAATTATAACCATTTTTCTTCCTTACAATGTGTAATCAGAAAACTATTGGCTTTTTTATTCCTTATAATTAAAAGTTCATAACTAATAGTTCAACACTACTCTGATTCCTTATTCAAAACTATTTTATAAATAAAAACCCATTGATTCACCCACAAAAACACTTTGAAAAAAAACATGATAAACGGACATGACAAGTGCTCCTCTTACATAATAAAGTCTGTAATCACTGAACAAATAGCATTACACGCAGAATCTACAATTGCATGCTCCTTCAGCTGTATGCTCCCTAGCTTTTAGGAACTCAAATTCTATTCTTCTCTTTAAAAAAAGGGTGTAGTTCGCACGGATGGATCCTGTAGAGTTAAGGTGTTGATGTAAAATATTCTTAGGATTATCTCAAAATCTATTTTATATCTAATTATAAAATTTTAAATTTCAAAATTAGTTAAAATCAAGTAGATATATAAACATATGAAAATCTTGAAAATGGACGGTGTAGATAATATGTTGTAAAATGCACTATTTTTTTGATTTAAAATCTTTTTATTTTTCATGGTCATACATCTTGATGTCGAGATGATCAATGAAAGGTTTTCAACATTGAAACTATCTTTTCTTATGGATTTTTGAGGTGCATCCGTAGTTCTACATTATAAAGTTGCATCCTTATATAAACTTTTTCCTTAAAAAAAACACCTATGATATTTTAAATGTGAATTTATAAATTTGAAAACCAGATAAAATAACACTATATAAGTCTTTTTAGATAATTTAGTTATATAATATGTTCCCTCGGGAGCATTTTATACAAAAAATATACTCTTTTGAATAGGTGTTACCACGGTGTATCAACATTAAATGCCATGGAGGAAATTGTTTCACGTCTTATCCATTTTCTTTTGAAGTTCTTTCAAAAAGGAATCATTGTTCTTTTATTAATATTGGCATTTTGTTAGTTCGAATTAATTTAGTTATTTCTTCGTATTAGTTAAAAACTTTTATATCATGCAAAAATAATTCCTACTCATGACAATTAAAGTTATAATTTATTTTTATTGCAGTTTTGGGTATAAGGTGAGACACGTTAAAATTTATAGGTCACAATTATATATTTAATTTTTTAATATTAATTAAAAAGTTCTATATCAAAAAAAAAAAACTAAATAATTTTACTCATGAAAATTAAAATTAGTATTAATAAAAAAAATGAAATTCCATCTTAAGTAAAAAATAATTCTCAGATTTAAAAATTTAATTTTGGTCATGAAAACTTCTTTCTTAAATAACATTATTAAAACCATTTTTTATGAGAGAGACTTTTCGAAATCAAAATTTTCAAAAAACATATACATTGCAATTTATAAATTTTATTAATAAAGTTTCTATTTTTCAATTAAGTAATTAAAAAACTTTGTATATCATACAAAACTAGCAAAGTGGTCAGCTCCCATATCTTAACACAATTTTAAATTTTTGGCCCTTTAATATTTGATTATTAAATCCAATTTAGTTTAACATCATAATTATAAATAAAAATTTAAAAATTTATTTGTGATTCACGCTATAATTTTTTTAGATTTAACAATTATTTATGACTCAAACTATTTCTAGTTCAAGTTATAACCCTACTTAAAATTTAAAATTTATCAAATTTTATAATTAAAATTTTAAAAAATAAGTGTAAATAATTATTACCAAAAGCTATAATTCCATCTTAAGAAATAAATGGAGCTCAAAATGATAAAATTTACTTAAATTATAAAATTAATATTTAATTTTTTAAGAGCATTTTTAGTAACTAAATTTTATTTATTCAAAATAACATCTTCAAAACATCTCCGGAGTGTGATTCCTTAAGTTACATTTAACTTTCTAATTTTTTTTTATTAAAGGGAATGCATAGAATTGCACAATAGTATAAGAAGATTGGGGACCTTAACTTTCCCTTATCATATCCCACGCCCGGGTAAAAAAGTGGGTTGTCTTAGGTAGGCAACCAACTTAAAATTTTGCTAAAACTTCTCATGACTCCGGAATATGTATTATTTGTTTTTTAATATAGCAGAATAACAAATTAGAATTCGTGCAGCTGGCCCCAATTACTTGGAAAAAGGATTTGATGATGATGACATAGAATTATACACATTTTCAATTATCTAACAATCACTAGACTGCCCGAGTGTATATTTATTTGTTCTTAGACTATATAGATCATTTTCCCATCAAAAGTATTTAATTATGTTTTGTTTTCATGTTATATGATTTTTAGAATTGTTATTTAAACTTTTCTAAATCTCTAGGTATTTTATTGATCTAATTTGGAATTATAAAATAGAGATATTAATTTTACATTGATTTAATTACTCAAATATGATTTTATGAATTTTTAAAAATCATAAATTATTTTTAAAATATTTTTATATTACATAAGATACCCAATAAGATAAATGGGCCCACCATGACAATTGGGTGGGCCCATGGAGTGCCACCCAGGGTGGCGCTCCCCACCTCGAGGGCGTTCTAGTTTGGTTGAGCTCAAGTTGTTGGCTTGGGAGAAAGATAGCCTATGATTTGGAAAACTTGTGTTTTGAAGAAGCTTTGAATTCAAATAAAGAAAGTGTAAGGAGGCTTATGTATGAAATAAGAAAGCATAATATTAATATAGATATTTTTTTATTTGAATTAATTGATGGGAAAATGGTTTAAAAAATGAGAGATAAAAGTTCTAATAAGAACGATAATGATCTAGAAATATAAGATCGTGGAAGGATTAACGTGATATAACATGATAATGATTAACATGAGATATTTTCACCTATTTCCTTATACTTACACATTTATTGTAATCAAATCATTGTGTAAATGATTATTATAAATAAGAACACACACCCCTTTCTATGGGTGTAGAGAATTTTATATAAAGATTGTTTTTTAAATTTCTTCATGATATCAGAGCTAAATAAGAACACACATCCCTCTCTATGAGTGTAGAGAATTTTGGAGAATTTTATACAAAGATTGTTCTCTAAATTTCTTCATGATATCATAGTTAAGTTCAAACTTTCAAGATATCAAAGCTAAGTTCAAACTTTCTTTCTAAACTCTGCGTCAAACTTTCATTGACGCAGCTCTCTCTAAACTGCAAATGCTTTCTCTCTAAATTGTACATCAAACTTTATTTGATGATGCTCTTTCTCTCATCCTGTTCGTCTGATTGATGCCCATTCTTCTCATTGATGTATGGGCACTTGTGCTGCATCCTATCAAATCTATGGTAGCGTAAACCATCTCACTCCTCAATGTTATTGTCGGTACTCTTGACAGAACTCTCAATACAACCTTAATACTTTGACTCATTCTCTTGGGGCTATGTCTCTCACCACACCATCTGAGGCATGTTGGATGTGCACATTGGAGCTACAAATCATGTAGATGATGATTCATGTATGCATATTGATATTATTCTCTACAATGGTTTGTGTTGTATCATTATGGGTGATGGTTCCTCAATTTCCATCTCACATATTGGCATTGCCTCTATTGCTTCGTTTATGGGTTCCTTAAAAGTACCTAATGTTTTTTTTGCCCCTAGATTTCAAAAAAGTCCTTTTATGTATATCAATTTATTGACCAATTTAATTGTTCCTTCCTATTTACAACCGTTGCTCTTTTAGTGATGGATCTTTGATATGAGAAGCTCCTCGCTAAAAAAAAACGTTAAGGAAATATTTATTTTCTTCAAAGTGATGAAGTTCATGCTTTGTTTGTTGCTTTCCTATCCTATATAAGTAATGCTGGAGTATCTGCCGAACTATAGCATCATCGGTTAGCTCATACCAACTACGCCATAGTAAACCACTTGAATAAACTCAAGGAATTGCCCTTTTTATGTAATAAAGTACCAAGCAACATTGTTTCCAAAAATTGTCAACTTGAAAAACATCACTAACTACTGTCAAGTAATGTCTTCCACAGTTGCTGAAATCACTTGGTGCCGCCACTTTCTATCAGAATTGAGTATTAGAATATAACATGCAATTCTTCGTTGTGATAATCAAAGTGTAATAAAGCTCGTCTTTAATCTGATTCTTCACGCACGATCTAAACACATTGAACTAGATCATCATTTTACTCAAAAAAAGATGGAAATTACTCCTAATAATATTTCAACTACATAACAATTAACTAATATTTTTACAAAAAATCTTCCTACATCACAACTTCGTTCGATTGCAAACAAGTTGTCTATGTTTCACATTGACATAAGTTTGAGGGGGAGTAATAAGAATGATAATGATTTAGAAAGATGAGATTTGAATATACACCTTTGATTTTTTCGGCTTAAAAAAAGAGGGTGAACAGTTATACGATTACTATAATATCATTCTTAGTTATTTTTGGGCTATTGTATCAAAACCCCGTAGTATAGATCAGTCCTTCGAAAAAGTACTCATGCATCAGCTAAAAGTCCATTACACCAATCAAAAAATATAAATAAATAAAGATCGAAGAAGCAAAAGCTAAAGACAAATTGATCAATTTGGACCCAGCCAATAGCTAAAATCTACAAAAAGAATGTCTTCCACAAGCGTCACCATCAATTGAGCAGATATGCTGCTGCATTCTTGCACTGTAATACCACGATTGTTCATCCTGGTTGAGTTTCAAACGAAAAAAACAAATGCAGAGGCCACAGATCCATCAAAACAGATGAACAATACACACAGATTGGCTAAATCCTTCTTCCTTGAGATAATCAAAAGAGATTAACAATCCACACAGGTTGGCTAAAGCCTTCTTCCTTGAGATACCCTGTAACATTAGAAACCGCAATTCTGCAATCAAGGGGAATAGTATCAAGATCAATAGGGTACAGAACACTTCTCTTCTGAAATGCTTCTGGTTTTCTGTAAGAAACAATGCAGCTTCCTAACCTAAATAGGGAGGCAAAAAAAAAAGAAGAAAAAGTAGTCGCAATGGGAGCAGCTCATGGCCACCGAAAGCAACTGTGTACGTCGACGATTCCATACATATAAGAATAATCAAATGTGTATAACACCAAAAAAACTCTATTTACATCCATCACTTGTACAACAAACTGTCTCGCTAAAGCACATTGACATGAGTGACAATCACTAAAGCACAATGACACGAGTGGCGATCCCCTCTGGTTATTGCAGAGAGAAAGAGGAAGGGCGGGAGAAGAGAGAGTTGGTTGGCTTCTTTTCAGCACTTTGATATGCCACCCAGTGACAAATACCTCCAGTATTTATGTTGCAGCCACGTGCTGTTTTGTTTGGGACGTCTCCGCTTGCCCCTGGAAATGCTGAAAACATAATGTCACAAGATTATTGATGAAAAAAATTGATAGTTGGTAAAAAAGATCCATTAAATGACAACGAGAGAGAGAGAGAGAGAGATGTTCGGAAATATAACATATCATCATCACAATAATTATCAACTACAATTTCAACGAATTGCACACCATTAGCCATTCCAACATCTAAACGGAAGGTACACATCTAAATTCCATTGACTAGTAAAAACCTACCACTCTGTACTCCAAGTTATCACCGAAACCATGGGGACGAAGAAATTTGAATCAATAAATACCGAGGTTCTTTATTGTTCAATAATCGAAAAATTAACAGGCATATTTTACTAGATATGGGGTGCTAGCATATCAATGAATCCTGCAACACACCTAGAGAACATACCAAAATATGCACCAGAAGAAGTGAAAGGAATAAATCATACAAATAAGCCTAGGCTGGCAAACATTGCAAATAATCCACACCTTGATACAGTGCTGAAGCCTCCATATAATCTGGAAGAAAGGATGCCCAATGAGAACAGTTTTCTCATATTCACCTAATTACTCCCATGGTTTTGTTACCTTGTTTTGTATTTTCATATATGTTCCCACGTATACTTTTAAGCACGATGTATGATACATACACTTTCTTTTAGTTCGATGAACAGATATGGTTAATGAAGAAGAGAACTCTAAATCACCTGAAACAATTGATGAGGAACAAACTCCTACTCTAACCTGTTTCAAAAGAAGAAAAAACAAATGCCTCAACGAATGTATTCTGGACCTCAATATGAACCAAAAGCCTCAAGTCTCACAGAAAGTAAAACTACTTAGCGCTAAAATGCTCCTCTCAATCACATAAACATAGTATGTAGAGGTTATCTCCCTTACTAGGTGAAAGATAATTAAAACTGGCAGACAACACTCCTAGAACATGTAAAACATTACCTTTTCTTCTGTAAAAAATACTAACCAATTGGCAGCCCTTGCATAGCACATAGAACAACAGCATGTTGCTCAATGGGAAGCAAAGATGAAGCTTGTTTGCCTCTCCATCAACCAAAGAAATTTCCCAATGAACAGCCATGCCTATAGTATGTTACTCCATTAACAATATAAATTTTTCTATACATTATATGCGTGTGCGTATAAAGATACATCTTATATATTCCTTATAGGCATATTGTATTCCAGGGACCTCTTAACCCAGAAACATTAACATAAAGTTCTCAAAAAGGGTAATCCTTCCAATTCCCATGTTAAACTTTAAGAACTGAATGCTTAAACATAAATGTCTCAATATGATAAAACTTTATAGAAAAAGAATATTTTCACTTAACCAAATTTTTAAAACAAAGAGTAGGATATCTGAACCGAGCTGAAATAAGGAACCATTGGAAGCCTATACCAGGGCACCCAAGAAGACGCGAGTTGCACATTATAAACCCAACCCCCAACCAAGATCCAGTAAACTAGGTAACCTTGTTGCATTATATGACCAATACAACATCTGAATCTCCTCTGAATAAAAGTAAGAATCACAAAATAAGCTAGAATAATTTTTTTCCATGAAAGATGGGCATAAAGTTCTAGCTTCATGGTCCTATCCTGTTTTCTGTAAGAAACATCGAGAAAATTGCTTAAGATTTAGGAAAATGCCAATATTTTATTAACAGATGGATATACACATTCCCGACTCCTAGTATCTTCTTGAGTTGCATAGAACTTGCAAACAACAAAAACAGTTGACAGTGTTTCAATTGTTACAATTGAGCTAAAAGCACCAAGCAAAGTTACTTCAAAAATATGTGAAACCGCAACGAGTTCTTAAGCCACAAGAAGTACAAGTGCCAGAGAAGAGAAAGCGAACAATACCTTTCTGTTCTCACGCCACGTTATGCACGAGACAAAAACCTGCGGAAGCGCTTCACTCTTGGCTCATAGTTGTTCAATGAACTGGTATCATCCTGGCTAGATAAGTTCCCTCGTCGCCTTTTTCTCCCCATTCGGATCAGGAAGTCTTCTGTGTCTAAAACATAAGATACCTGTGTATGTGCAGTCAACAAAAAGACGCTTTATAGCATGAAATTTTAACCTTAAGCCAAAATGCCCATAACAAAAACAATAACATTTTCTTGAAATTCGTATCAAGAGTCCCAGTCCATGCCCAAGCACATTACATGACCTACCTTGGAAGTGTTGCAAGAAATCTTATATTCCAAGCCATTGACCACTCGAACGCCTTCCAGTGCCAAGCAAGATGAGGAACTCTCGTCATCACTTCCATATTTCTGTTTGGTTCTGTAAAAGAAACCCCTGTTACAACATATAACACCACTACAACAAGATCAATCTACCACCAAATTATTATGATCCACACCTCTTAAGGAAAACCCCATCAATCTCCTTCTTATAAGGGATAACTGCCAGGAATTCACTGTAGAGATAAGCAGCAAAGGATGGTTCCATGGAAATAGCCAAGACCTCAGGTTTCTCATGCCCAGATTCCATCAGCTGGATAGACAAACGAGTCGGACCCGATGACTGCAGTCACCATTACAATTACGGAATATCATTGCGTGAATCCAGATAATTACTTTATAGGAGGACAGCAACCCTTCCACTTATAAGGACAATAGAGAATAGAACCTAATCTAGCAAAACCAAGAATCCTAAATTCGAGGAAAACTTACACATTCAAAACGGTACATATTCTCATCATAGAGCAGAACACGAGCATTTGCATGATAAACTAGATCGATAAATTTTCCAGGTGCCCTTGAATTTTCATATGCATACAGCTGAAGGAGTTTATTGTCCATCTCATCAGATGCAATAGCTTGTAGCTGAAACAGATACCATGCAAATGAGCATGTCTAAAGCATCAAGAAATATTAGGGAATAAGTGCAGGTGTAATATAATACCATACCTGTTTGACAATTTTAAATATCAACTTGTCTAATGTGAATAGCACATAGGACTGTGTACCAATAATAGCACGACAATCATCCTCAAACTTTGTATTGTCAGCAGAGCCATCAAGTAAGCTGTAAAGGATGCTCCTAAATCTGTACTTGGCATAAAAAAATGAACACTGAGCTGTTGACAAAAATACTCTTAAATGAAAAGATAGGACAATAAAAATACTCTTAAATCAAAAGATAGGACCACAATTAAACGGATCACCGACTTGGCATAGAGATCAGGAGGACTGGTATCCTTCAATGTTCTCCATTTCTTTTCAGCAGATAATGAGTTCATCTTTGCAGAGAGTATCCTCTCATACAATGTCTGAGAAAGCAAAAACCAGAGATTGAATAACTTAGATAAATTGCAGTTCAAAAATTCAATGAATCGACATACTATGAGACCACCACTGCTTTGGTCAAAATTGGGATGTCAGTAATTAACACAGTTGACTCAGGCATGCCTAAAATTTAGTTACAAGGTGAGTCTATGTTTGTTTTTGAGTGAGAGAGAGAGTACAAGTTTCATTAGTCAATCTAAACTGGTTAGAACATATTATTAGCACTTTAAAAATGTGGAAACTCTGTTTTCATTATTCAACCAAAATCAACTTAACTTTACATGTCAGTGACAGTTAAAAATTGTGAGAAGTATGGAACTCAACTCCATGAAAACCTTCAAAAAAATAATTATATATTATTTTCCGATTCTTCTTTAATCATTTTAAACTGAAGTAGTTGTCGTGTTTCGTAACGTCAAATCAGTCAAACCATGCTGGATGCAGGTTGAATTGGCTTGTAAGCAGGCCAGGTTCACTCTGAGACGTGAATTTCTAGACCATAACAGAGAAAAGAACTCTAGAAAAGCAGTGAAAATGAAAAAAATCTCACCTGGTGAAGCCTAAAGAGCACATAGAAAGAATCATTCCCATAAAATATCCTTGATCCTCTATGTTCACTGCCACGTAAAGCCAAAGGCACAAACTTCGCCAGAGGCTTCACAGAGAGCAGAAAACGTTCTGAAAAGGCCAATGAAATTCCATCCCCATCTAGATCATGAGCATCAGCCATCCCTTCAGCCTCTCCTTCACTTTCAGCCTTAGCATCATGCTCTTCGTCTTCTTCTTCCTCCTCTTCACGAGAGCACTCATCCCCATCACCCGACTCACTCCCTGACACTTCCTCACCGCCCTCAGATACATTCTCACTGTCCTCTGATGACCTTTGGGCACTCTCGTCACCCTCATCATCTGCATCAGCATCATGTTCCCCTCCTGCCTCTTCTCCACAACAAATCTCTTCTTCTTCACCATGCCTAACTTGATGATGATATTGCCTGCTAGCACTTGCAAGTGGACTACTATTGTTCTTGTTGTTATTATTATCTTTTGCCTTTGACATGTTCTCAATACTACCATCACCGTATGCCACAAACCCATCCTCATCAAAATCTGGATTTGGAGAGAGTTCACCCTCTTCTCTTTCAGGCTTAAAGGTGCTAGAAGAATTCTCACGATATGTACTAGTGCAAACCAAGGGAGAAGCATCAGGCTTACTACTAGCATCTGCCATGCTCCTCTCTATCGTCACTTCCACTGCTTTATTGTTGTCGCCACCATCCTGTATCACAAAAGAGAAAAGAGCTTCAGAAATTGCGTGAGAAACAATAAGAACAAAGAAGTCTAAACTCCACCAATATCTGAGTAAGAGCCTTCTACTAAAAAGTTATGTTTTCCTTGTAAACCTAGCATATTGCCAACCATTTAACAATTATGAAGTACAGAATTCAATAGCATCAATTTCTTGCCCCTTGTATCCATTCACTTATGTTGACAGGACCCCCAGCCTATCAAAAATGATCTATTGAACTTGATTGCCACCAATATACACGGGCCTGTAAACTTACAATCAATCTAAGTCACTCAAAACCACTGAAATCGACAAGAGGAACAAAAAAAATGATGCAAGGACAAACTATAATGTGCGAGTTGATATCCTTAATGTTACACAGAGAAAACAGCAAGTCTCAGCTAAATTACACCAGCATAGAAACATCTGAATAAACTGAAGATAAAAAAAACTGTAACTGGAGTTAGCCAAAATTTAAAGAAAAAACCCTGTCATTCTTAATAATATCACACAAAAAGGCTATGACAGAAGCATACTTTAAAAAAAAAATTTAAGGAAATTCCTTTCCGAAACAATTAACAGTTTCAAAACCAACAAAAACAAAAGAGAAAAAAATTGCCCCCAAATTACTGTAGGACTATGAACGCTCAATAACATTGCCAACTATAAACAACAGTCAACAAGCAAGGTCAAAAGCCCCACTAAAAATGGGACACATGTTCCTTAAACAACAGTAAAAATATCTGTGCTAAAAAGACGCATTCTTAACGAAAACCAATGCCATAAGCCATCATATCTAGATGGAACACAAAACCATCAATCTCTATGTGAAATCCACAGAACATGCTTTCTAGGACATAAAACAAATTGTATCTATACAAGCAATATCAGAAGAATAATTTAACATCAACAAAATATCCAAAAATTGCCTGCGCTTGGATTGCTTACCCCACCCAATAGTAGCATATCATCATTAGGTTTTCTCTCAAGCTCGCTTTCAGTGATGGTATGACCAGCTTTAGAAAGCATCGTACCAGTTCCTTGTATGAAAAAGAAAATTCTCAGAATGCGGTGAAATTCAAAACAAGAAAACAAAAAATACAGAGGAATTGCAATGTACCACAACTTAGTAAACAAAATGCAATTGAGCATGCACACTGACCCAATACATGCTCCAGATTAACTCTTCCTTGATTCATCTCTGATCTAGCAACAGCATGTGCCAAGTTGGAATCAGAAGTTCGCTCAGTAGAAGCCATATGTATGGTGACTCCTGGCATTCCATCACCCATAGGATTAGAAACAACAGCAGCATTTGTAACAACTTTTCCATCACTTTTGCGAACAAATTGGTCGGTGTCATTATGCACATCTTGCTTACTGGACAAATTAGCATCCCCATTACCACAATTAACCAACAACCTACCCTTGCAGGATGGCGCTTGTTCAGTTGCTGGTTCATCACTACTCCCCCCAGGGTGTGCTTGAGGCTTGTTGTGGTTAGTGGGGGTACCAGTACCATCAGCAGCAGCACAGGGACTACCATCACTATCCCCAGCACTAGTCCCATTAGTTTTTACAGAGTGGTTATGGCCCTTATTAGATTTCACTACATCTTCAGTGTCTTCTGCACCCTGAGGACGTGGGGGAACACCCAAAAGGGGCTCCAAGAAGTTCGTCCAAATTCTCATCACCTTGTCTAGCTGCTCCGTGTTAGTGCACACCTCATCACAAGAATACCTAATGATTTGATATATATCTTCATGAATATCTGGATCATTGTACTCAAACTCGAGATTGGGGATAATTGGCCGTCGGTTGCCCGCGGCGATAGCCAGAAGCACATCATCCTCCTTGCGCTTTTTCTCATTTATTTCTTTAATCTCAGACAGCAAAGCTGAACACAAAAAAGTAGAAGATAACAAATCAACATACAGGTAAAGCACAATTGCAAAAGGCATGAAAGTGAGTTTCAAGCAATTGGGAGAGATAACGAAAGCAAATGCAAGGTGTTCTTGTTCAATTCTCTCATCGACCAATGGCATACTTAATACAAAAAGCTAATAAAAAAATTAGGCAGTTAAATTTCAGGAGGTGGAACATAATACAGGACTTTTGTCTACTTTACCAATAACAATACATGATAGTCTTACATTAATGCCAAAATGTATAACCGCCTTGTAACAGTAACAATGCTATAACAGCATCTTTGTTTAAACTCCTCTCCTATATATATATATATATATATATATATATAGTGGTCGGAGACTATTATGTTGTACGACCACTATCGTCCCTACCCTAACCCAACCTAACGTCCGGCCCCGTACCCCGTTCCCGTACGACGTAAA